TAATTTAAAAGTCTATCAGCTGTAGCATATATATAAGGTAAGATTATTGATACAAAAATTATTTTTAAAATAAAAATGAGTTCTTTGTCCATATATTTAGAGGAATTTGATAATGCCAAATATAATGACTATGATAACAACCATGATAACGACCAAAATAATGATTACAATACGACCACGATTATGATAATGATGATGATCATGATAATGATAACAAGCGAAGTAATATTAATAAGGTGTAGGATTTTTTTAAAAAACTTAAATAGAAAAAAGAACAAAAAACAGCCAAATGTATGGTACCAAAATGTCAACACAAGGAGTTTTTTTGTGGGAAGAAAGAAACAACCAAACTCTTGTGGCACTATTTGGAGAGTTTTTACTGGATAGAGTATGCCAAAATGGCAGAATATCGAAAAAAAAAACACAAGATGAATGTGATAATATTGAGAAAGCATTCAGAAGGGTGAGTTTAGGGTTCTAGAAGTGTAGAGCATGATACTATTAAACATAGTGCCTGTGCTTGGCATAGTATTATGTTTAATAGTATTATGCCCTGAAACTTCCAGAACCATAATAAGTTAAATTTTTTAATTTTCAAATATGAACTAATTTAAAAATTTTATTTTAGAATCCTCAAGAAACCTCTACTATGTCATTTGCTGATATTGATAATGTAAAACTTCACAATATGTTTGCCATCTAGACCATTAATCGTCAACACCTATTTACAATAATCAAAGACCCTGAGTTAAGGTAGAGTGCTTTAGCAAAAAGGTTCTACCCAAAATTTCGAGAGGAATTTTTTTTGCTAAAGCCCGAGAGATGGTTTCATAGACAAAATTTCTTGCTATGGCCGATTTTTGAAAAAAAATCGTAATTGCTTCGATTTCATGTTATACCTGATTCTGCACTCTAATTGGTTGATCAGGGGTGGCAATACGTTGCCATGGCGATAAATTATAAAATCCTAAAAAAAATATTAAATTAAATAAATAAATAAAAAATTTTAAATAAAAAAAAAAAAAAAAAAACCTATTCAAACCCGAACAAGTTTGTGAACTTCGAACTGAACTCGAACTGAATATAACTTCATGTTTGAGTCTAGTTCAGGTTCAGACTTCACCCGTTCAGGTTCGGTTCGGGTTCAGAATTTGCACAAATGTTATGGTTTAGGTTCAGTTCAAGTTCAGAAGTTCGACTGAACCCAAACAACTCGAACTGAACCTAGAAGCCCTAAATAATTAAAAAATAAATTGTTTCGTATTATTCAATATATGATGAATTTATAGTATTTCAAGCACATGATCTTAATATGAACACAGTAACAATTCTGCAATTAAAAATAGATATGCGTAAATAAGTATGTTAATTACATGAAATATTTTTAACTATATACAGTATATATATAGAGTTCTATTTGATAGAAGAATTAAGCTCTGTATTCTATAACCTGGTATGAAAGATTAGTGGTAAAAATTTTTGATATATTAAGATTTACATACCACTTAGAGCTATTGCACTCAAGATATTACTTCGTTCCAAGAAAAATTCTTAATTTTATAAAGAGTTTGACTATTTTATAAAATGTATTATGATAATAAGCTTATGATTATAGATATAAAAACAATTGAATACTTTTATACTATTTCAAATTATTAATAGTAAAGGTCTTTACAAGTTTTTAGAAGATAATTTTCGATATATTTTAGATAATATATACAAATTCATAAAGCAAGATATGCTTGATTTATTTATAAATATTATAGATAGTGAAATAATTAGCATATCTTCAACAAGCCATCTTTTACCCTAATATAGTAGGCTTTAAAACGTTTGCCCTAAAAATTAGAGTATTTGTTGTTGCAATAATTATATGTTAACAAGCAGGTTATCTCAATTCTTATTCTATAGTATATTAATTCACTATATTCACTATAGTACTCTACTCTTAATATAGCTAGGTTATAATTCACAATTTGGCTCTAATTCGAGTTATGTATTACTGTCAATTATGTTTTTGTCTTTTCACTTAATATTAACATAGAAGCATTCAGTAAAATAGTACAGATTTGAATAGATATAAAAAAGTTATAATAATATATATGGTTAATATCAATTTTATAAGTATTCTTCTTTAATGGTTATGATTAGGGTTAAAGAAATACTACTAATGTTCTTTTTTCATGTTAGAGTTAGGTGAGATTATAAGAACAATTTTGCTTCAAAAGAATTTTTTTTTTTACAAACTGAACATACAAACTATTATAATTTTCATATGTCTGTTCTAACTTGTATAGCATTTTATATATATCTTTGACATAGATCACACACTTAATTGATCTATAAAGTACTAATCACTAATTCAAATACTCTTTTCTAATACAAGGTAGTTGGCAAAAATTATGAGGACAGAAAAATAAAATGAACAATTTTATTTAAGATAACTTTAATGTTATTTTTCGAAGTTAGAAATCTGATTTGGTGTTACTTTATTTGAGATAAATTTCGAGCTTTTAAATACAGTTTTCATTATTATTGAATTTTCTGGTATATATGTTTTATATCCTTCTTAATTTATAGCAGGTCTAAAATATTTAGCAAAATCGACCTAGTGGTAATCTTCCAATAGAACATAGAAACAAATACATAATGGTATTTTAGCATGCCAATGACAGAAACCTTTATGAATTTTAAAAAAATTTTTAGAGTCTTAATTTGGAATAATGAATTGGGATTTATATAGTATTCATCAATTAGGATATAAGTTAGCCGAAATAGGTTCTACAGCACCTTTGAGATATGTAGTATATGTAGTACAAGAATGATAATAGAAGATCAGGTAAATTAGTCACAGGTTATCAATCACCTGGGTTTAGTTGAGGTAATAAAAATCAATTAAGAATCAATTAAAGTGCATAAGAAATATTAGATCAAAAAAGTTAAGTATCGTACGATTAATTAATTGTGTAATTGAAATAAAGAATGAACATCGATGATGTAATTAATCTGGAGTCAAATGTTAGGTATATAAGAAACCTTTTCATTCACAAAAAATGTAACGACATATATCTATACAAAAAAAAACAAAAGTATGGATAGTTACGACTCTTATATACATGGTAGTATACATAAGGATTTTAAAAGTATTCCTATTACAAGAGGTTAAAGTAGAAATACCTGTGATACATGGTTAAGCCAAACGAACAAATTCGAATTGTAAAAGTTAACAAAATATACCATTGGACCAGTTACACCATGTAATAAAAATATCATATATGCTCTTATGTCTCAAATTCAAAATTTGTCCAAGAATAATGAAAATAGCTCAGAAAGTTGCATTTATAGTCTTTCCTTAAGTCACCTATAGGTAGGGTTCTGCAATTTGATTTGATTTGATTTGATTTGATCAAATATTTGATCTCAAATCAAATTCAAATACAGAAATTTCAAATCAAATCAAATTCAAATTGACAAAATATTTGATTCGATTTGAAAATACTTAATAAAAATTACAAATAAATTTGATTTGATTTGAATTTGATTCGATCAAATCAAATTCAAATACAGAAATTTCAAATCAAATCAAATTCAAATTGACAAAATATTTGATTCGATTTGACATTGAGGAACCCTACATGTATATATATATATTATGTTTTGAACTGATATTTGAATGAGAGCTATAATACTAAATAAAGAAACTTATCAAACTGTTTAGAACTTAAACTACTTAATATTTCTACTTATAACTAGTATTAGTTATTTTAAATTTTTTAATTTGATACTTTACCCTCTATAGTTGTATTATAATGGCTATCTTGCTTTAATAATATTAAGCAAATATGATATAACTAAAGTAGCAACTGATTTTATAGGTCAGATAGGTAGTGCTACCTGCAGTATTATTGCAATCAAATCAGTATTAGATCTATAGTGCTATCACTATAAAAATTTGACTCTGCATGTTGAATATTTGTGACATCACCCATATGACCTATAAAATTAGTAGCCACCCTGGCCTCATTGCATAATACATATATCATTATATATACTTAATATAGAATATAGATTTTAGCACAACAAGGATATATATTCAATTGCATTCTAAGAATTTAATATGCTTCAAAATAGAGTCATGATAGATTTGGAATTAATTTAATTCTAATTATATTTTAAAATCTTAAATTAAACTACTCTAGTATCACTACACAAAATTTTACTATCACATGATGATCAACAGCAAATTAACTAATAATTAATTATAATTTGATATAATATAACATGATTAGAAAGATTCAAAACAAATGTTAGTTTTGTAAAAAAAAACTAAGAAATGATTGTTTCTCAAAAATTTGTATAAGAAATTATCTTCTATATATTAATAAAAAGTTTTTCTAAACCGATTTTGCTATTAAAAACCCTCATACTTTAATCTTAGAATGAACCCTAACCCTAACCTAAATGAACTTAAAGATTTTTGGCATGATCAGTGATAGTAAAATTTTTATAGCGATACTAGAAAGATTTTAAATTACAAATCTATTTGGTATATATTTAATTTAAAATTTAACTTTTTGGAAGAAAATTATCTCAAACTAGAAATTGTTTAAAGAAAAATTTACTCATGTAACAGATAAAATCTTTATCAGGAAGGCTAGTCATTAAACTTGAATTAACTTGAAATTGATTAATTTATACAGATGATATATTTAATAGATCTTGAAAAACTTTAATAAAAAAATTATAACTTGTTTATATAATAAAACAAGAGCTTTATGATGCCAAGTATAGTAATATATTTAATATTAAGAAAATTAGTGTACTTTTCAAATGCATTATGAAATAAAATAAACATTTTTGTAACTTTGGTATTTAAAAAATTTATAGTATAAAGTAATTTGTAACAAGAATTTTATTTGTATTATTAAATTTAGCTAAATTTTACATATATATATGACTATTAAACAAAGCAATATCTTCACATCTACCTAAGCTTTTTGTTTGGTTGAGCTAGGAGATTTAATTGCAAATAAGACCAAAATGTAAGAAAAATCAGAAGGCAATGCTATAAAGAGTACAGGCATTAGAAGATTAAAGCAAATATAGATAACAATGCTGGCAACATATACTTGGCATAAAGAATCAAATTTGAAATAAAAACAGATATTAAATACAATAATTCAAGTTATCAGTATCAATTATAAAAAAATTTTTTTAAAAGCTTTTGTTAATTGCAGCTTTGCTACTTTTATGGTTAAGCTTGCTTAACTATACTATAACAATTTTAACTTTTGTATATATTCAAGTTAAATTTTATGTTCATATTTATCAAGTTTTCAGTAAATTAGATTTGCTTCAAGTCAAATTTCATTGTAAGTCTTATTGTTAATTATGTTTTATTATGGTTAAAGCTTTATATAATCAAGATTTTACAATTTCTCTAAAAATATAAGGTTTGAGTTTAAAAAATATCAAATAAAAGAGCAAGAATAGCCATTAGCAATAGCTTAAAAAAAGAAATTTGTGAATATAATAATAAATTTCTAAATGAAATATACTTAAATATTGTATTACATTTTAAACAAAGAGATTAGTATTAAACCTTGAATGTTTGACTATTACAAAAATCTTAAAAAAAAACATGTAGTTGGTACTTATAGATGATAATACCAATACAGTTGTTTTTCAGTACAAAAAAGTCAA